AGAGTATAACTCAATTTAGAATATAATCTCACCCAGATGAAGTCTAAAACATAACATGACAGCTTGTCTTAACCATGTCTACATACTGCACTGAGTTCCTGCCATGTGATTGGCTGATTAGATATTTTTATTAGAAAGCAGTTGATGCATGCACACTTCCTTTAAAAATAAGAGAGGGATTTTTTTTTTGTTGTTGTTGTTTTTTCCATCTGTCCCGTTTGGTTCTTTAGCCGTCAGAATTGTTGTCTGAAGGTCAACAAAGATACCCAACGGTTTTACAATGGATCATCACGGCTTTGCCATATTGGTCCATTTGATTCGATAAAAATAACTACTCATACTTAAAAACGTAGCCTCCTAGCTTACTTTAAGGAAGCTTGTAGGACAAGTTTGGAACTCTGTGTGAAGCCATACAGGCTATTTAATGCATCCAGTCTGGATGCCAATTAGCCAACAGCTAAATTTGGCTTTTTCAGCGCCTGCCTGAACAAGCATGCAGCATAGATGCTGAGCTTGTAACTGTTGCTTGTTGCTGTGCAAAGTCTATCACTGCTACATGTAACCAGGGTAACCAATTGTGCAGTCAAAAGGGATCAGACACCTTAATCTTTATAACAGGCCATAAGATTGTCCCAGTTTTCTCACCAGTGGACAGAGCTAATAAACCTGCGCAGTATCTGTGGCTGTTTTATCATCCAAGGATTTATTACTATGTCATTCTGTGACGTGAACAGAATGGCTGAGAGATGGCGCCACCATGTGACTGGTGCTAGAACTGACTGGCACACATTTCAAAACACTGTCACTTTGTTGTGAACTGATCTTCGTGGCAAATTCAACCCAAATCCAGAAAATTCAATTAGATCTTTAAAAAAAAAAATCCCACAAAGGGCCTTGTTACTGTCATCAGTGTACATTAGTAATACAAACCAGCTAAAGCTACAGTTAGAATATGTTAGCATTATTAAATACCAGGAGGGGTGAGAAGCATGGCTCTAAAACCTTTTACAAAACCTGCTTTTAGCATGAATTAAATTCATAAACATGTTTTGGACATTCCTCAGAGATTTTGGCACACGTTGACATGAAAGCATCATTGGACAGAGATCTGCCGACTGTGGAGGAACCCAGGCGGTCTTCCCCTCTCTCCATCCTCCACTTTCCTGTGAGTCTTCACTGTGCCTATCAAAAAAATAATAATTTTCTGAAATAAAAACACTTATTTTGATCTTTTTTCCTTTTTTTGCAGCTGAAAAAATAAGATATAATATAGAAACATGTCAATAAAAAAATATACATAAACTACATAAAGTTTTAACAAGACTGAGAGTGTTCATGGCAATGGACTTCTTATTTGTCATTTGCTAAAGCAGGTTCTTACGACCCATCTAGGGGCCAGGCAATAACATGAGTGAAGGACTCGCTCGCCCCACAAGACCGAAGCAGTGACAGGAAACAAATCAGTTTGTTAAAAGGTGATTTATTTACAAAGTGATAAAACAGATACAACAAAACAGGAGTGTCAACACGTCGGGGTGAGCTAAGGCCAAAATAATAAACAAAACGAATCTAAACTGATTCCCACACACCTAACCTTACCAAAACAAGTGCCAAAAACGAAGACAGACTCTGACTTCCTTAACTTACTCAAAACAGGAGAAAACAGGTGATCAAAAGAAACGGCAGCTCACTCCTACCCACTCCACTTCCTCAACTGTCACAATGTCACAGGCGTACTGCTTGGATGTTGGGAGAAACGCGAGAACCTCTCTCACCACAGAGCTCCATCCTTCATTTGATGGGCGGGGCCTCCAGCTGGAACCAGTCACTCTGGAGCTGTATATCCACGCACCAATCGCAGCAGGGCCCCGGCAAAGCTGAATTAACATAACCAGATGCGTTGA